ATAATTTAGATAATGTGTTCTATACTAAATATTACATATTCACTGGGTTTTAATTTAGCGCATTTTCCAGTCAGCGACATAAGCAAATTTAAAAGCCAGTGAATAATTAACCCCTTTACATTATTTTACTTATCAGCCAAAACAGAAAAATCCTCCTGTGAATAATTAATGCTTTTACAGTAGCCAATGTTATGAACTCAAGAGTGGAGTCAATTCCAACACAATTCAGACCATTAAGTTCACGATGTAGTGTCTAAAACTGAAATATAAATAAAAATCTTAAGAACTATAGATCTGAAATTAATTAACAAAATAATAACTCAAAATAACAAATTAACTGATATATTGCTTCAGTATTTTGTGACGTACCATTCAATTAAATAACCGGGCATGAAAATAGATCAATATATATTTTACACCTATTGGAAATCAATAACAGTATATCAATATGTCACCAGAATTCTTGATTGCATTAACCTTTTCAACAGTTCCCTCTTTTCATCACAAATTCTTAAAATAGTCTGTTTAGAGTCTGCACTTTCATTCAGAAGATTAGACCAAAAATAGCCAATTTTTTTGAGTAAAAACTGAAAACTTGCTTAAATTTTGTCTTTTGGCTCCAAAATTAGGGTTCATTTCCATAAAAATTGAAGAATATAAGAAAAAAGAGTTGGGTGATGAAAAGGTTAAAGCAGGAGGGTCATCACCTGCGCACGCGCTAACAACACACGCTAAAAATGCAAAGGCTCATGGGTAGACGCTTGTTTGTAAACAATGACACGCTATGGCCACCTGACGCATGCGCAGGTGACGACTCCCCCGCTTTAAAAGATCACAGGCTTCAAATTAAACAAATCAAGTTCAAACAATGCTGCCAATGTGTGTTGGTCTCAGCTTGACTTTTGCTGCTTTGATATGCATTTACAGTACATTTATTTATAAATGTACAACAAGTATTTTCTGACATGACTAAAAGTCATAATTTGCAAGCTCTGTGTTAATATTTAAACTTAATTTACTCTGTACAGCAGTTTTTAGTTTAATTATGTGATATAATTAATGAAGTCTCCCTTCTGAGTTTAATACTAGCTGCGATTCCATTAACATCAGCATACTGTTAAATGAAAACATGAAATGGAAAGTCAAATAATCACCAAAATTTGGATGTGCTAACAATTATTGAAATCAAGACATACTAGTACGCTTTAGGCAATAGCAGAATTTCTGGTTCCCTAGGGGGCTTTTCTTCATGAACAAATTATTCATCAATATTTATTAACTATATTTACTCTATTAGAGGTAATATTTAATAGAAGTACCTATAAAAATTTCATTTAGTGTAAGATGGATTATTAAACTAAAATTTATTTTCACATAATATGAAGCTGGATGCTTGAAAGATAAAATAGCTATTAAAAATAATACATTCGCTTTCAGAGCTTGTTTGCCACCAGGCGCAGTCAGAGATTTATTCATAATCGAATGCTTCACATGCACGCACTCCACTGACAATTCGAAGCGCTCATTTGTACTCAGATACGAAAGATATATAATAAGAAAGACTGTAACCGCTCTCTTATGCTTTCATAAAAGCTATGAAAACTGTGTAGAAAATATATTTGTGCAATATATTAATGTGCAGTCACATTACGAATATTTTAAGAAAGTATTATAACATGTATGAAAGACCAGAAGATGCGATCAACTTTAAAGATCAGTGGCCATATGCTGTTAATGAGCACTGCAGAGATTTCCTTGCGTATAAATCAGTGAAATTTACAATAGCACGATAAAGTGTTGGTAATCCTGACCATCATGTTCCCTTATATTGAAACTGCGATTGAAACAGCAGACTGCCGGTAGTGCGATGAAGCCGAAGTTCGATGTTATGCAAATAAATGTTGTCAGGTTCAATCCAACATGGTACAAACACAACTTTAGACTGTTCTGTTTCATGTTTGTTTTTTTTGTGAATCAAACAGATAATAACATCTTTTTATTATATATAAATATAATTTTCATCAACTCACCATAAGGCCAACAAAATTGTCACGTTTTGTAAATTCAGTAAAATTTGTGCATTTCATGTATTAAAAATTATATTTACTACAACCAAAGACACTAGTGTCTTTGCTACAACAAACGTATTGTTTTTGATTAAAAATAATGCTTATATTTAATTAAGAAAATACTTGATGCGGCGATATTTTTAATATTGTGCACCAACAATTCGTTGAATCACAAGACGTGTTTGCTCTTCAGACTTCATAGTATTCGGAACATGTACAACATGAGAACTACAGATCAACCCGAGGTTCAAAGTCACCACTCATCCCCCGGGGACCCTGGGATTTAAACAACGGTCCAGGATCGTTAATTTTTAGTGGAAACTCTTGTTTACTGCTTAAAATGGTGAGTTTTTAATATTTGGGCCTATTAAAAAAAAAAAAAAAAAAAACGTGACCCACTATTTCATATTTTTCGGTCGGTTGCTGAGGGCAACAAAACAATTTTTTCTTTTTGACCTAAGGGTTTTTGGCCATATTTATCCATTATTTCATGTTTTCATGTGATCCTACCTTTTCAGATTTTTAAGTGTTTTTACAACCAGTCAGTTTTCAAGACAGAAAATTTGGTAAAATAATTCAAATGTTCCATTCCATTCCATCCATAAATTGACTTCAATTTCAGCTGCTGTGAAGTCTTTCACTTGTGTCAAAAACACCTGGTGTTTGTATCGATTTACAGGTTGGTAAAACACGATGACCAGTCATATGAACACTTACTGTTAATAACACGCAAACATCACATTATTGTTCAATATTTAACTTTACACAACACACAAGTCATTTCCTTTTGTGGTTTCTAAACTTAGAAACAAGTACATAAAATATCAATTGGTAGAGCTCAGATTTCCTCTTTACAATGTCACACTCTAAGAGTTTTATTAACATAATTAATAATTTAAGTATTATTGAAATCTACTTTACGATTTAGTATCGTTATAATAGGAGTACATGCACAAATTAAGGACTTATATCGGTAGTCAAGATAAACAAAAAACGAAAAAGGATTAGAGTTCATATAATGTATTTGTTTATTTCCAACAACTTTACAAGAATTCTAGCCAGCAGAAAACAATACATGTGTAAATACACTGTTCATTTGATGTCAATCATATAGTATATTGCATGTGAAATATATCTAATATTTACAGACACAGTGGTTTATGCAGCACAACACCGTGTTACAATAATGTATTTCGGATAATGAAGTGGAATAAGAGTACAATAACAACATTTTCTAGCATATAATTATACACCTGTCAGGTGTCAAGTTTAAAAAATAAATTGAAAACTGTGGTTTGAAAATAAGACTGGAAAAAATATCAGTTTGGATGCGTTTGAGATTTTGTTTCTCTACAGGCGAACACAACAAAATTGGAATAGCGATACCACTTTCCTGCATGCTGCCACATGGTAAACTGAGAAGTAGCCAACGAAAACAGAGTTAAATAACCTATTCCTGCCTCGCATATGGTATGTGTATATGATAAAGCCTGACTATGAACAATTTTTTGGGATAGAAAGTCCAAACCCAAATAAAATGTCAAGTTTTTCTAGTGGACTTTATATCCCAGATAGTCTGAGTAAAGGGCCTTATATTACTAAAAAACTCATTGCCTTAACTATCTATAGATATATGGTATATATGCAGATATTCTCATACTCTCAGACCATATACACAAGAACAGCATTAAACACGAAAAATCACACAATGAATAAAACCAATATACAAAATCAAATTTAAGTTTGAGACAGCTCAATGAGCAGTGTGTCTGTCAGATCAACATTAACCAAGCACAGAGTTCAAACCTAAAGCTCGATCAGTGTCACACCATTTATGACCTGTGGTCTTGTGTAAATGTCCTGGACAATTTTGAGAAAAAAAGCCTATAAAAATCTGTGGTCATTTATGGTATAAAACGCCTAGGACATTTTATGAGAGATTTTACTTGAGCAAATGAGTTGGACTCAAAAACATGATATTTAGTGAATGGAATAGAAGAACTTGGTGAGTTTCAACTACAGCTCTATTGGTAATAGTATGGTGGTCATTTTGAGCACCACTGTGAGTGTGGGGGAGGCTAAGCTGCATTTTAAACCCAAGCCTAGCACGAACACATTTTTTTTTTTAAATGGGGTGATGAGGCAATTTTTTTCTTCTTTTGCTAAAATATTTCCTGACACAAATTTTGCAGGTTTCATCACTTTGTGGCAGTGATGAACAAAATAAGAGGAAAAAAAGATGGGCATAGTGGTGAGCATGCTGACATAAAACAGATTAGTTTCTTTAGGCCTTGTGATGTAAAAGATGTAACCAACCACCTTATGTAACCAAGCTAGCATCTTTTTAATACCAGGGAGAACCCAGCGACTTTACAGTGCTACACCATATAGCCACTCATCACTAGAAATGAATTCAAACTTAGCAACATACACAGGTCTCTCATGACAACATGAAATGAAGGAATTATATGCAGAAAAATAATTATAAAGTGTTATGAATAAAAAATATGGTGTACAGTGATATTTGTCTTTGCTTTCCACAAATGTTTACTTGGCATGCATCGACTACTGTACATTTTACTATAAGCCTGATTAGATAGGAGCACATGTATATCATTTTACCATCACACAAGCTGAAAACCCAATGAATGAAATGACTAAATGAATGTTATTCAGTGACAAGTACGGGTAACTATCAGAAAATAAAGGAAACCTGGATGGCATCACAGGAATTAGAGTATGGGTTATTTAGTGATGTATTGCATAATTCAAACAACTAGAGTGGGTGAGTGCACACATGTCAAGACAACAATAGGCTATAGTCCTCGTCTGCCAACCCCATTGTACGTACTTGTACTCTATTGTTTACACAGGAGGCTCATTCCATTCCAAACATTCCACCAATAAAAAAAAAATCAATAACAAACCATCATTTCTATCTTTTTTCTGTATCAATTTATTATTATTATAGGAGAAGTATTGGTCGATTGCAGTATACACATACAGTGTTAGCAATGGCCATACTGTGAGTGAATGAGCTGGTGTAGCAAGAAAACATGAGAATAATGTATTCATTGGGTCTGATCACGACTTTTAACATTGAATGACAAGAAGAATAAAATGTGAAGATACGTCTGAAAAAAAAATAAAGAAAATTCAGAATATTTAAGCTCAGCAAATTTTTGTAATTTAAAAGTTATATTATGATAAATGAATTCTATGGCGGGATATACATTTTAAAATAAATTGTATGAAAGGCAAAAAATAGATAAGTGATTGTAAATAGGATATAAACACTTCTTTGGCTGAATCTTGATACACATCTTAACATCACTCCACCCAAAGGTTCCAAAGTTCACACTAGAGAGGAGAAAAAACACACACAAAGACTTCTATTAAAAGCAGACCACATTACGAGTCCATACATAATGACAAACACAAAAGAATAACAACCTTCATGTCAAATTAGAATGTAAACTGTCTTGGCAACAAATGAATTCCCTGATAACCTGCCGCGACCTTCACAAACACTAAGGTAATAAGTTGTAGTGTTTGTTTTGTTGTTGTTACAGCTACCTACTAAGATTGCCCTCATTGTACAACATCTATTGTTTTCTTAATACAACATTACTTCTATTCTTAGCTTCTAGCTTGATAAGCTTTGAATCAAGTTTAGAGTTGGATCCTCAGATTTGCGTAATTTAACGAGTGTGATTTGTACAACCAGGTCGGCCAACGCATAAAACATTACCATGGCATAAATTGCTGTATGTTTCTTTGGTTGTAACAGTCCCTTTATACTGGGAAGGCAATCTACAGGGAAACGTACGCTACTTGTTCTGGTGTCAAATTGCTGCTGGAGATGAATGGCGGGAGTTGCGTAGGCATCTCTTATACCCGTAGAGTGAATACTTTAGTATGATATGGTTTCATCAGTGACTTTAGGCAATATACGTTGTGTTTACTGGAGACACACATGGAAGGGAAGGCAACAATGTGTAATTTGATTACTCTGACCAAACAATGAACTCAAGTGTATTTGTAAATTAAGACATATCAGTAATTATTTAAGTAAAGTTGCACACCAAGATCATTCCTAAAGTTTCAATCAAGTCTTCAGACAAACATGTTAAATACTAGACGATCTGAATTTGCATTAAAATAAATTGTACTAAAATATCAGTGTGTCTGAATGGTTACGACCAGTTTGGATCAGTATCAGCAATTTTCATAAAATTCATGAATGCCATAAAATTATCAAATTAGGAAAAATAAGCAACAAGAGTGGATTCACAAATGATTTACTGCAGAACTGAGAAATGTCTTTCTGTGAATGATTGAGATATGTGCATTATCGAGTGTTTTGACAAAAAAGGAGTCAAAATAGAAGACATGATATCACCAAGATTGTGCAGTGACGAAAACAAAAAAGATTATTTTTTTCGCAACTACCAGGGTACATGTGTCACTGAAGGCATACCGTCAACGGCACAAAGACAAGTACTTTCGTTGACAGCATTGATTTGAATGAAGTGTTCAGTAAAATAATCCAGTACGGAATTCTGAAAGCGAAAAAATAATCTGAAATAAAAATATTTCCAATACTTAAACAAAACAAACATTATATGGTATGCACATGTTTCCCATCTATGACATTTCTCAGTTCTGCCACTAGAGGGCCACACTACAATGACATTATGAATTAGGGTGTATTATATAGTTAATAATCCAATAATTACGACAATGATAGAGTGGAAGAAAGGAATTAGCCATCTGGACTCTGATAATAAATTCCCATGTGTAATTTTGCATTGCGTGAATAGAGCTGGATGCAGTGACATGGAACCGACTTCTATTCATAAACACAGATACAGCAGAACCACTTGACTATAAATAGCCACTAACCTGTTACCTGTTGTTCCGCTGTTGCAACTTATTTGGACTAAATATGATGAAAATATTACACTCCATTTACAGTTACGAAAAGATAAAAACCAAGCAAAAGATGACAGATAAGCCACATAATTTAGTGGAGCCAAGCAACGCATCCTTATTAACCACAGCCAAGCATATTCATTCTAATTTACCACAGACATATAGAACAAGAATCCTTACCATTGAGGTAACATGCAATTAAATACAACAGAAGAAACACATGAAGTAAATTGATGTTTTTCAACTCCAAGCAGATAATTTTCAGTCCATTAATGATCAAAATTGGTTACTTATTTAATATTTTTTTTTATAATAGATACAATCTAAATCATTTTCAATAATAAACACCGATGGTCTGCCACTCTTGATTAATCATGTATAAATGGCAATGTCCAATTCAATAAAACACAGATATCTTTGTTGCTAATAATCTGTTTTTTTAGAAATCTCAGGTATTTGTATATACATATGTATACATAAAAGGTCAATATCAACCACCTTATCTTAAGTATGCACCATGTATTATGTTATTCAGTTTTTGTCTTCCTTTAGGCTTTATTGTTTTTGTCCATTGTAACCCTCTTAACCTCTTCCGAGGGGAGGTTATGTGTTAATAAAATTATAACACAAGAGGCAAGTATTATGGGAAGTTGCATCCCATGAGACAAGAAAACACTCCATGAGAGACAGGTTAGCACATGTTTTGTAACATTTTCAAACATTTCAATGAATTCATCACCTAGACTTCTCCTCCATTTGTATCACAACTGTGCTATTCATCGTTATAACACAGAAGCATTAGAATGCGAGACTGATTCCCACAAACAAGCCGATTCACAGTTCAATGAGCAGAGAATTTGTAGCTTTCAAAGTGAATTCTGCACGCCTCCATTGCCATTGTGACTCTGAAGTTGACGTATAATCTCCCTGACTTGACATTTACAATAAGTTAACTGCAAAAATTACTACCTACAGACTATTGAATGTGTGTGAAGAGTGTTTACACTGTAACCACATGTCTACTGGCTAGAACTATATTTAGGGACATGTACTTTACAAGGCCATGTTGGGGAGAATCCTCATGGCTAATTAGGTATGCAAATTCAAATTAGCATAAAATCATAAATTATAAGAAGAATGTATGCATGACTGCAACAGACACTGTAGGATGCTTGATTTCTCACAGATTAATGTCAACTGTTTTGCATACAACTTAATTGTATTTTTATCGAGATCCCAAATATGGATATATATTCAATAAAAGCATTTTATCATCATACATGGTAATTCAGATAGTATGCCCTTCTAACGGGACTAATTTTGTCGGGAATCCTTGAAATCAATTTGGGTCAGCTTATTGAGGAGGTTGATCTTCAAGAAAAAATAAAATAAAATTGTATTTGACTGTATCACCTAAAAATTAAAGTAAAATTAAATTAAATTTTAAAATTAAAAATGTTCTGGTCCTTGATTTCCTTTGTATTTACACTACACTATGTTATTCTATGTTAATTCATGAGCCTGAAAGCCAACATTTAGCTGTGATATTTATAGCCATTTGAAGGTATTATAATACCTTCCATGACAAGACCAAGATTCATCTAGCAAAATCTGCCAATTCCCAGCCTACAGAACTACAGGATGGCTTGCCATGAACACAGGTAGGCTATGAGAATTCAAACAGTTTTTCAGGTCGGTGTAACCTCACCATGGCAACTCTAGACTGAGTTCAAAGTTGTAGCAGCAGACTAAGTGATATTGAACAAACAAAGGTTGGTGTCAATCAAATGTCAGCAGCACTACCTTTGATTTCAGTTACACACAAAAATTAGTCAGTCAATGTTTGACAGCCTGCATTATAACTGAAAACTAACCAAGGAAAATTCTAATCTCAGTAATTGAATGACTCCCTATACTATATTATGTGTATTAGTTAAATTGCAGTACATTTTACTTCATCATTACAAAACATGCCTAAATCTGGTTACATGTATTACATTTAGTCTGTAAATATTCACAATGTTTGATCTAGAAAACTAACAACAAGTTTAGTAGTGGGAGAACAAACCATTCTGACACAGTTTTATAATCAGAAAATTACCATAACCATAAAAATACATTGACTAACAATACATCATCTGAACTAAACATGAATTAAACACCCTCATAGTGTTCACTATTTTATGAAAGCAACATAACCAATACAAACCATAAATTTACACTTGTATATTTTAAGTTGTCTGCTAATTAAAATAAATTATATGTAAGTACACCACTGATGATATCTGAAATTCTTGTAAATGTAAATTCAGACATTGTTTCAATAAATATTTTTTATTAAATCTATGGTGCATACTTAAATACGAGGACTAATGATCTACATTTTGTTCTCCTTGAAGATTAATGTAGACGTTAGCCGGCTTTCAACTCAGATCTATATCATTCATAGTACAAAGATATCAAAAAAGGTCACGTGATTAAGCACTTATAATGCACAAATGACACACTGTGTTGAGCTACTCAATGTCAGCTCGATACCGACTATAGAGGGCGCCACCCTTCAAATATAGAATCCTTAGCCTTGTGCAATAAATTTGTCAAAAAACAAAAGGTGTTTTGGTATTATTCAGACAAAGAAAATATTGTGTTTGTCTTAAAGATCTTATTACCCTGCTGTTAATGCATATACTCTATATCACAGGAAATGTGAAATGAAATTCCAGGTTCCATGTGAGGGAGGGAGGGTGGGAGGGGGGGTATTTAGAGGAACACCTACATTGATAATTAGAGATGATTCTTCATAGGCTGTACTTACCATTTGTCATTCACCTGATCTACAGCAGACACGGTTCATGCACTGTAGATTCTGACAACCACTTGCAGACTCCTGGAGGGGACCATCAGTGATATTATCACAATAGAAGAAGAGATGGGGATCTAGGCAGGGACTAGATTTAGCTATCTCTCGCAACCCAGTTGACGTCACATCAAAACATCCAGACAAATCTAAGTGACGTAAGTTTGGTAACCCTCCATTGTTGGCCAATGCTCTGAAATAAATTTGACATATTTCACTGAAGGCCAATGGCAATAAAAACAAGTCATTGTCAGTAGTCCTCATTAGGGGCCCAAGCCTGAAGGGCTAGGTCCCTATTATTCATGTTTTTGCAACTGTGTCAATTATAAACAGTGAAAGAAGTAAATAGATAATTTATTATAAATATAATTTAATGTTGGGAGAGTATTCAACATGTTAACTATAAACAATGTTATCTCGAATAGCACCACATCCATTTTTGTTCAGTCAAAGTTGCAACTAGGTGTTATATATTGACAGATTTCTACAAGAATGACAAGCATGTCCATATAGCCTTGCTTATTTTTATTATTTATGGTAGATCAAAAGCATAGTATTACAACATTCTTGGTAAATACCAACAACCAATCGTCTAAAGGAATAGCATCAGATAAACACAACAAAGCATGTCTGAGAAATAATGGGAACAGCCTGATGATGTAAAGCTGGAAACAATGGTGAACATACATCATGCAGACGACTGGCGCCCTCACAACCCACATAGAGATGTTATTTCAACTACATTTCTGTACACATTTACACTGGTAACTTGGTTCTATCTAGAACCAACACTCAAAATTATGAATGAATATGCTTTAATTTCACAGATTTCACCAATTTTCCTGAAATTTTTTATTAGTGAAAATTTCACTGAGATCCTAGGAAGTCACAGTGAACATTTCACTGGGGTCCTAGAGAGACACAGTGAGCATTTCACTGGTGTATTAGGGTGTCACAGTGAACATTTCACTGGAGTCCTAGAGAGACACAGTGAGCATTTCACTGGTGTATTAGGGTGTCACAGTGAACATTTCACTGGGGTCCTAAAGAGTCACAGTGAACATTTCACTGGGGTCCTAGAAAGTCACAGTGAACATTTCACC